TGCAATGTGCCGAGCGACGATCAGGATTGGCGTCCTCTCTCGTAAAGTTCACAAGGTCAAGTTGTGTCTGGAAGGAACAGAGGGAGAGAAAGTAAGGGAGGGAGTAGGAGAGAGAGGAAGAAAGAGAGGGAGAGAGAGGGGAGAGGAATTAAGAGAGAGACAAAGACAGAGTGAAGCGAAAAGCGGGGAAAAAATAAGTGCCATGAAGTAACACACACACACACCTTGCCTGTGAGGATATAATTACAAACCAGAATTTCCCCCGCAGAGCCCGCCCTTTTCGGTCTCCAGTTGAAGCAATGCCATTAGCGAAATAACTAAGAGGGAAGACCACACAGAGATATTTAGACAAGAAAAAATATTCAAAAGAGTCGCAAAAGGCAGCGATAAATTCTCCGTTCCTGCGAGGCCTGTGCCATGAGCTCGCAACGCACTTGCACATAATTCTCAAATTGAAAGGCCCTTTCGTTCCTGCAGGGTCGCGTAGACAGGCGACATAAAACAGCGAGAAATATTTCGGATTGGTTGTGTTGTTTGCTTTCGCTGGGTGATTTAAGATTTGATTTAAAAAGGAAAGGTAAATATGTAATGGAAATAGTCATCATTCTGTTTCTCACATTCTTTATTTCTCTCTCTCTCTCTCTCTCTCTCTCTCTCTCTCTCTCTCTCTCTCTCTCTCTCTCTCTCTCTCTCTCTCTCTCTCTCACTCACTCACTCACCGACTCACTCACTCTCCTTTACTCTTTCTCTCTATCTTATCTATCTATCTATCTATCTATCTCTTTCTCCTTCTCTTTCTCTTTCTCCTTCTCTTTCTCCTTCTCTTTCTCCTTCTCTTTCTCCCCTCTCTCATCCAGCCTTTCCCTTTTTGTTTACCACTTTGCCGCCCTCATTCCACCGCCCTTATAAATAGCCCTCATAACCCTGTCTCGAATCTGGTGCGGATTAGGGAGAGATCGGCTAATCCTCGAAGCCGCCGACGAAGGCCATTCGTGAATCACAAAGTTTAATCAAGGCGGGAAGTTTTACGGCACAAAATCTCCAGTGCGGTTCGTTACGCCCAGGTATCAGGCTTGATTCTGAGACAGCTGATTCGGGAGGGGGAGGGGGGTGTAAGATGGGGGGAGGGAGGGAGGGGGTGTCGTGAGCCAATTCACGTTGCGAGTTTTTTGTTTTGTTTTTTTTAGAAATTCGCGTTCAGTCAGGGTGAGGGTAATTAGCAATATTGTGCGTTATGAGTGTGCAGTCTGCCTCGAGTTTGCATGGAGCTCGTTAGCCCTGGTTTAGTCGGGGGTGGGGGTCGTTTCTTTTGATCAGCTCGGTTTATGGCCCAAAGTTGAACTTACAATATACACGCACGCGCGAAACACACACACACACACACACACACACACACATACACATACACACACACACACACACACACACACACACACACACACTCACACACACACACACACACACACACACACACACACACACACACACACACACACACACACACACACACACACACACACACACACACACACACGCACATGCACACGCACATGCACACACACGCACATGCACACACACGCACATGCACATGCACACACACGCACATGCACACACACACATACACATGCACACCCACACACACATGCACACCCACCCACACGTACACCCACACCCACACGCACACACGTACACCCACGCACATACCCATACAAACATCGGGATAGGGTGGGTTATGCTATTTATTTTCCTTACAGAAATGAGGGTCACGGTCCTCAAGATAACACCTTTGATATACGTCGCAGGGGATTGATACGCTGCCCTGATCCTGCTCTGTGAAATCAAGATAACGGGAGAGAAAACAAGTCGATTTTTTATTGTCTTTTAAACTCGAATGTTTAATGTTCCTACAAATTCCAAATATGGGCAAGGCCGCTAGGTGATTATGTGCAACGTCTCATTATTATTCTAAACGCATAGGCCTAATAAATTTGGCTCTCCTGGATCAAAACATAAGAAGACATAGACTTAAGCCTTTGTTCAACGACATCTTTAATGGGGCCCTTTAAACCATGCCTTCAAAATTCCTCAATATTTCTTTTCAACCCCTTTCCTAAATCCCCCCCCCCCAGTCTCCCCTCTCCCCTCCCTCCCCCTTCCCAATTTAATTAACTCTTAACCTTTCTATAGTGTGAGCTTTGGAAGCGCCTGAGATAACGCACTCTCTGGTGTGACATTTCTCAACAGCCGAGATAGAGGGGGACATGACAGCTGCTTGCTTTATGATCCCTTGCTAGGCTGATCATTTCACTGTGTAAATGGGATGTAAATGTTTTTTTTTTTTTTAAGATTACACTCCAGTAATCGTTATATAATGGAGTACTTTTTCAGAACCATAATGAAAATCAAGAAATAAATAAATTAAAGAAATCGAGATAATTTCCCCATTCGCGTATGTATTATCATTATTTTTATTCACAAGTGTGTTATTTCTGTTCCTCAGGAGGGCGTGTGGCGCAGGAGCCGTGGCCCCGGAGTGTCCCGTAACACCAGGAGGGAGAAGGCGTCCAGTTCTCCCGTCTTCAGAAGGGCGTCGCTCAGTCACTCAGAGTGGGATATCAGAAGGTAGCGCTTGTTTGCTTAAAGTGTATTTTGTGTGATGATTATGGTTTATTTGGTTTCGTTTTTTATTTTGCGGTGTGTGTGTGTGTGTGTGTGTGTGTGTGTGTGTGTGTGTGTGTGTGTGTGTGTGTGTACATCTATATGTGTATGTACATGTGAATGTGTGCGTGTGGTATGTATGTATGTATATGTATGTATGTATGTATGTATGTATGTATGTATGTACATATATACATATATACATATATACATATATATATATATATATATATATATATATATATATATATATATAAATATATATCGGTTGTCATGCCAAAGTCTCGAAAGCGACTTTATCTTTATCTTTCCCTACGAAAAATAATAATAATGATAAAAAATAAATGACGAAGGAGCCTTCATTAAAACCATTTTTCCGCATAATGTGTTGTTGCTGACATTTTCTTTAATCCTTTTAAGGGAATCAGCTTTAACCATTAACTCTCCATGACTAAGCATGTTGTCGCCTGACTGCATGATTTGTAAACAAGCCTAGTATAGTCAAGAGAGAGCCTGAATAGCTGGAAGATAAGATTTTAAAATAAATGTAAAATATTCGGAAGAATGTTTGTCTGTCTTTATCCATACGGAAATCCAGTCTCATTCCTTTATATATCACATATTATGTATCATATATCAATCATATACCATGTAACAATCTTATGTCATATACCACATATCTATCTGTCTATCCATCTGTCAATCTATATGTATGTATGTATCTGTCTGTCTAAATATCTGTGTGTATGTACGTATTTCAATGTCTGTGTATCTGTCTATATGTGCATATCTATATCTGCTTGTCATTCTATCGCCTGACTACATATCCATATATTCAGGAATACCTCCATCTCTTTCCCTATCTATCTTTATGTATGTATGTACGTCCATGTATGCGTGTGTGTGTATGTGTGAGTGGTGGTGTAAGCAAACAATAGATATAGGTAGTTTATAAACAGATTTTTCAATTGTTCTAGATTTATTTGTATATTTCAAGGCGGAATAGGTAGGAAATCATAATCATATCATTTCTACCTTCTCTCGCATTGGATAACCTCAAATGAGTAATTATTTTCTTGTTTAATAAAAAAAATACTTATAGGCATTAAATTAGATTGGTATATCAGTAAAAAATTACAAGTGTTTACTTCAGAAAATAGATAAGTAAGTAAATAAAAGTAAAAAGATATATAGATAAAAATATATAAATCCATGATTTGTTTAGTTTGCCCAGAAAAGATTCTGGTTTTCTGTAGCTGCCGCGGAAATGTGTAGAAAACGTAACCGGACCTTTTACAACTATGACTATAATATTTTTGTCCAATATCGATCTGTCAGTTATTATTTGCCACTTATTTATTAAGTGGAATTGTTATATATATTTGAATAGCAAATGGAACTATGTAGTGAGTTTGAAAACATTTTTACAGTATCTCTATCATTCTTATAAGATTTTGTTTGAGATCTTTTATATATTTACCAAACGAGAACATTATGTTCATCGCCGTCTTTGATGTCGATTTTTTTAGTGATTATTGAAAGTTGATGATATATGAATTACATTGACTTTAGCCTTTGCAACAAACCTACAGCCACCTTGACTTTTTAATCAGATTAGGCCGGACAACGTCCATACGGTGTACATTATGTGTCCCCTGATTTTCTCATATTTTCCCCTTTTTCCTTCCATATCCAGACCGTGGTCGCATGTTTATAGCGAACGTGAGGCAGCCAAGCTGAGCCAGTCAGTATGTCGCCTGGCCATGACGTCGGCAGAGGATGGAGGGCCGGTGGAGGGCGTGGCGGAGGGCGAGGAAGGGCCCCGCTCGCTGCCCTACATGTCCTCCTCTGCCCAGGCGTCCCCGGGTAAGTCTTTGGAACTGTACGCGTGGGGAAGGGGCATGTTTGTATCATTATTACAAAGGATGCGCTGTTATTGATTTGTATGAATATGCGTATGAGGGCATTATGAATCAACGGGCCTCGTCTCTCTCTTCCTCCAGAGGGAATGTTCCAAAAGTTCAAGAAATCTTTGTCGCTCCGCTTGGCCAAGAAGGGGAGCCGCAGCGAGTCGCCGGGGCCGGGGCCGGGGTCGCAGTCTGCCCCCGTGGGCCCCGTGCCCGCCGAGCCCGCCCAGCCCGCCCATCTGGATTCGCAGACGCTTCCCAGGAGGCGCGGCTCCGTCAGCAGAGAGGACGACACCAAGTCCAGCTTCCTGTGAGTACTCGATGGAATTGGCCTTCGTGGCAGGTTTGCCCGACTTGCCTTTCGTTTTTTTTTTTTTTTTTTTTTTTTTTTTGTGTGTGTGTGTGTGTGTGTGTGTGTGTGTGTGTGTGTGTGTG